GACTCAATGGTCTCGATCTGGCTCCAAGCACTGCTTCCAATATCCTCAATGTCGAGAAGCTGCACAATGATTGGACCAGGAACCTGTAACTCGACAATACTGGATTGAGCAACTTGTGCCGGCAACAGGCTGCTTGGAGATCTCTGTGTCGAGACGGTCAAATCTGTGGTGAGAAGCCTGTACAATGCTGTTTGTTGCAGTGATGACAATGGCACGCTACTGCGTGGTTGTTGTAGAAAGTCGTCCAACCATGCTGAGGTAGGTACCAGACATTTGGTGGCCAGGAAGTTGACCACAGCGTCTTTCTGATCAGAGCGCTGTGTAGCAACAGGTTCGCTCATGATCTGACGTTGAGTTGCCATTGCGTCGTGTTTGACGCGTCGCGTCGCAAACTGCATGCACTTTATGCTCTCGGCTTACTCAGATGGGTTATCCGTGACGACAGCTTTCCTAGCAGCGCCAGCATGAAGACTCCTTGTCGGAACATCCAATGTCTACGATCGCCTCTCCTCGTCAGTCTCTCACCATCTCGTCTCGTCGTACATCGACAGATACAATCGCAAGGTCGGTATCGACTTCTCGAACTCCTCTTCCACCCACAGGTAGCCTTCGTCGCAACCGAGCAGCCCTTCGAGACTACTATGGCCTGAAAGCAGCACAGCAAGAGGATGACTATCCCCCACCATTACCAGCAGAAGTTGAGGAGATCAGCGTAATCGATGGTGAAGGCTTCGATGCTGAGGAGTACGTCAAAGAGCTACTCGCGAATGAGAGTCTAGAGAGTATATTGCGAACGGAGGCTTCCTTGATCAGCGAGACCAGGACTCTTGATGGCGAGAAGAAGTCGTTGGTGTATGACAATTACTCGAAATTGATCGCAGCCACCGAGACTATCCGCAAGATGCGCACCAACATGGATCCTCTTGCGCCTACCACTTCGACTCTTACACCTGCGATCAGTCACATTGCAGCTACGGCTACAGCGCTTTCGGAGAGCATTCGAAGTCAACATGGTACATTCATGGACAGCGATGCATCCAGAAAGGCGGCAGAACAGAAGACGGTGCGATGGGTTCTCGCCGCGCCCGAGCGTATCAAAGCTCTGGTTCTTGCTGGTCAACGAGAAGGTGCGGAAGCTCAATGGATACAGGTCGAGACTCTGCTGAACAAGTGGTCAGCCGTCACTGGTGTCGAGCGTGTCCGGGCCGCCTGCCAAGAAGCACTTGCGGTCAAAGGTTGAGCTGAATGCTTACGCCTCAGCATACCGTTGGTGTCCCCTTCGACCAGGAGCCTAGATGAATTCGACTTTGCAATCGTCCGACAAGAGCTGATATAGCTTGTTGCACATCTCTACTATCATGCTATACATCATTTCTGTCGTGGCTTCGATCTATCAAGCCTGTCAATATTGCAACACCCACCAACGCCATCGCTAGAATAGAACACAGCAGTCTCTAGTATCTCATCTCTTGCTCGCTCTGCTCGAGCTTCGGCCAAGCTCACCACTCTGGCGAAGGAACTCACCACTTGGACGGACACCATCTATGCTCATGCGGTTGGGCCTCAATGAGCTCGAGCTGCTGCGCCTTCTCTGACGTCTGACCACCTCCGGATCTTTCGGGGAAAGGCCGCTCGCATGTCCGAATAGATTCAGGACGTCTGTCAGGCTGATGACACCCATGAGTGTGCCCGACATGCCTTGCCCAGGTAGCTGTGACGCAGGCACCGCAACGCTGGGGTTTGTGCTTGTGTATGGTGGGCCGGACGTCATTTCTCCCCTGTTCAAGCTGTGGGTGCTGCTTGGTAAGCTCAACGGCGGTATAGCATGGATGATTGGACTTGGCGGGACGGAGTTCGCTGGTGATGGCTCATCAACGAGCCACATCCGGTGGGATCGAGTTGCGCAGAGCTTGGCCACGGTATGCGCCAGTGTTGAGTACGGGCTGACATAGAAGACCGGATATGCGTCTTTTCCGTCCTCCATGCCGCGCTCGGACAGGATGACTGAAATGAAGTGTATACAGCTGGAGCTCAGCAGTGGAATGGAGGAGGTATCGGTAAGAAGCTGTACTTGTTAGCAATGTTACACTCTGTGGAAGCAACGACTCACTCTCACGTCAACATGACTGATGTTGCCAACGACATTCCGGTGAGCATCAAGCACTGGCAAGCTGGTGACACCTTCGTGATGCATCAATAACAATGCCTCACTCACTGGACGATCTCCGTTGATCGATATGACCTCCTTGACTCCCAGACCAAGCTCTTTCAGGAAACGCATGTAGAGCTGCTCGCATGCCGCGAAGTTCTGGTGGTTCTCCCAGAAGAATCGAACGAGTCTCAGCTGACTGAGCACCGAAATGGCTTCGGATGTGCCTTCTTTCGTGATGATGACTCGATGAGATCCGCTGCCTAGCAGCTCCATAGCTTTGGTGAGGTCTGCATTCCATGCTAGTACAGCTGGCTGCTCTCTCGACCCAAGGTGATTGAGCACATCTCTCAATGCCAGCTTCTCTCCACTTCGAGCTCGCTCTGCTATCGTCTCTGCGACTTCATCGGGTTGCGTCAGACCTAGGACCAACAGAAGATATGCATTGAGGTCGGAGTAGTCGAATGTGCCGATAGCGGTCTTGGTCTTGACAGACTCGCGAATGAGCACGACATTTGGTGCTCCTGACTTCACCAGTAATCTTGTGGTATCCTCAACACTTGTGTCTAGCTCCACGAACCGAGCTTCCGCTGCGTCGACGATTTCATGTACCTGTATGCTCTTCCAATCTCTGTCTTTGAACTCTGAGTTGGTTGCTTTGAGAGTTGGATGCATCAGTAGCTCCTGGAAGGCATTGTTGGAGAATGACTGGTGTCGGCTGCTTCGAGGTGAGGAGGGATAGTTGCGGAGGTTCTCTGCCAGGCTCGATCGATGTGACACAACAGGTGATGCATGTGTAGAAGTTTCTTTCCGGACGCTGGTCACGGAATTGGTGGAAGACGACATGGCCTTGAGAACAGGCGAGCGAGCATTGTCGGATGTATGTCCGTTGGACGCCATGGCTGTGGGTAAGATTTCCTTGGTCTACTAGACGTGTGTATCAAGTATTGACAGGTGAAATGAAGGACAAAGACATCTCATTGCGAGCAATGTTCAGGAGAATAAGATATATTGACCGCTGAGGTGTTATGCTTCGCTACTGTGCAGCAGCTCATAACCCCACTATGGATGCCAATGCAGATGACATTACGAGTGTCAACGATAGGATCGTCCTGTGCGTCGAAAAGCTATGACGATGGGATATTATGCTCTTGTGATACTGTGTCACAATGTAGCTCTGATGGACCTCAGGCCGCGACCTTCGTGTTGCGCCAGCCTTGCGAGCGAGCACTCCTCACCACCACCGTATCGCAAGAGGACTAGCTTGATATGCTTGAGGGACATCACCATTCATTCCCTTCTCTTTGCAAAGCTTGTATGGTACACATTCCGCCTATGCATGGCTCATCCCATGTGCATGATGACAAAGCTGTCACAGTGAAGTATGAGTCAACCAACAAGTCCCTTCCTTTGTCTCTTTCCTTGAGTGATCGTATGCACACCACCGCCCTTAACTCCACATCAGCGCCTACGCCAGCGACTACGTAGTGGTGGAACTCAACGAAGGGAAGGCTGCCATTCTTCATGGTCGTTCGCTCGATCATTCCTTCTTCAATCTAAATGTCTCTACAGGAGGTATACCGTCTTGCTCACACTGCAGAGTGCCGCCTCAACATCAGTGCTGCACGACCAGATCGCAATCTGCGCTTCGTTGTAGGACATCTCATGCACTATGAATCACTACGACTGCGCATAGTCGAGATCGAGCATGTTATTGGCAGAAATCACAGAATGCAGGCTACGCATGCAGCACAGGCTCACAGACAGCTAGAAGATAGCTCCCATCAACCTCGTAGCACGACAGAAGACGAAGATCTCGACGTCGACCTTGCTGAGGCTGATGACACGAACGAGCACATTGAGGATCTGGGCTTAATGAGGTTCCCATCTGGAAGCACACGGCCTCCTCCGCTCGTTGCTGACACTGAAGACGACGAAGAGGAAGAAGATGCGGCTGAGCCAACATCGCCTACAGAGCCTAATGCTGCAATTCTCAAGCAAGCACTGAAGCGTCCTGCTGATACCGAATTGGCACAAGAATTCGAAAGGGTGCGCAACTGTGCCTGCCATGGTCGCACCGATGCACCGCACGTCGAGAAGATCTGGAAGATATCCTCTGGCGAGAATCGTCCAGGTGTAACACGAGCCGTTGCACAGGTGGCAGATTGATGATGAAGTACTGCCTTCAACCACTCGAAGGCGATTTGAGCAATCTAGAAAGATCAGAGACAAGCGATTCCAACAAACGGCAAGCAGACAGACTTCTTCTCTTGTCTGACAGACGACTGCCCACATTCATCTGGGAATATGCAAAGGATCAGCATAAGTATCAAGCACTTTCGATACCACATTCGGCCGCGCCAGCATAGAAGGACACCAAGCGAAGTCTTCACCCATCGCTATCGTCGGCGTTATCAGTACCCCAACCTGTCCCAGGCAGCATGAGTAGAGCTGTCAATAGACTGAGGACGATCAAGCGACATGGTGCTCCCTGCCTATCGATGAGCGGCTGGCAAGAGGTACTGTGTTACCGGCCGCCAGTCTTGGAGCAGCCTGACAGACAACGTCAGGTAGTGAGAAGCATAGAATTCCGCATCCTGACCTTCTAAAACCTGTCTGCAGGCTTCATCTCCCTTCGATGCAACGATGTAGAGAACCATTTCATAGCTGAATGACTGTTTCCAGATGTCCTTCCTTATCTTCGATCGAGCACCGTGTATACAATACTCAGTGTCTCGTGAGCCATCCCGTGCATGATGTGCCATTGCATTCAGAGGGAGGTCCGGTCGACATCTCGTCTCACTAACGATGAGAGTATTATACCTAAGATTTGAGAGGCACCAAAAGTCTCGCTCTCGTGGCGCAGTGGTAGCGCAGGAGATTGCAGTACGCAACCCATCTCAAGGTCCATCGTTCGAATCGGTGCGGGAGCTTGTTTTGCTCTTTTGCTCGAATCTCGATGATAATGATGCACACGCATGTGGTATGGCAGGAGACGACAGCGTATGGGTGTGGTATGAGCCCGTGATGTGTATAACTCTAAGTATGGTCGCAACCTGTATCGACCGGGCTTTTGCAAGCCGCATCGGTAGACGGCAGGCGGACCGTCGGTCTATTTGTGCTTGAACCACCGATACATTAGACAGAGATACACCTACTGTGATCGTCGTGTCGGGAGTAGACCACTGCGATCGGAGGGTTTCATCCAGTCTGCAGAGCGCTCCATCCCCCCTCCAGCAAGCAGAGCTGGTTTCGCCTCGCACCCAGCCGTGCTGTAGCAGCACCATCCATGTTACGTCATACGCCATTGGCATCTTCAGGTGCTCATCGGTCGGGACAATGAACAGTCGTGTCTCTGTGGTAGCGTGTGCTGGATGCATGATCTTGCGAATAGTGTCGCCGGCTTGATCGTCGAGAGATAGCATAAGAAGCGTGATGGTGTTCACTATGCGTCAGCACAAGAGCGTCACTGATCCTCTATCTCAGCGTAGACCTAACAGACAGCTCAGCAACAAAGTGCACATCGGCTAGCCTCACGCCAACATGTCTTCGAGCCCATTCAATCCTTCAACAGACATCCCAAGTCTAGCCGAAAGAGTGATTCTCATCACAGGAGGTGGGTCGTCGATGGTGCGCTTGAGTGGTAACGCTGACACCCTGATAGGGACGGCAGGTCTCGGTGCAGGCTCAGTTGTCGAGCTTGCGGAACACCATCCAGCACACATCATCTTCAGTGGTAGAAGGCAGGCAAAGGCCGACGAGCTTATTGCCAGGATCAACAAACACGTACCAGATGTCAAGCTCACCTTCATCCCATGCGACATCTCATCATTCGAGTCAGTCCGCAGAGGCGCCGAAGCCATACAGAAGTTGACAGACCGCCTTGACGTCGTCATGTTGAATGCCGGAGTCATGGCTGTAGGGCCAGCGTTGTCAGCGGACGGGTACGAGACGCAGTTTGCAACCAACCATCTTGGCCATGCGTTATTGGTGCAGCTATTGGTGCCACTGCTGCAGCGAACAGCGCAACTCCCAAGGACAGATGTCAGAGTGATCAACATGACGTCTGTAGCATTCGACCAAGCTCCCACAGGCGGTATTGACTTCCAGCATCTCAAGACAACACAATCTGGTCTCGGAGGCTTTGGATCGTCCATCGCCAAGTGGAGAAGATATGGCCAGAGCAAGCTTGCTCGGCTTCTGTACACAGACGAGCTCGCCAAGCATCATCCAGAGATCACCTTCGTCTCGATCCATCCGGGTATTATCATGACAGATCTGTTCCAGAACGTCGATATCATGACCAAGCTTCCAGTGCTGATCAAGTTCTTCGGACGAACGACACCAGTTGAGCAGGGTCATTGGAACCAGTGCTGGGCGGCTACCTGCGATAAGTCCAGGTTGACCAATGGAGCCTTCTACGAACCAATAGGTAAAGCAGGAAAGCGCAATACCTCGTACTCGCGCGACGAGGAGCTGAGTCGGAAGCTGTGGGAATGGACGCAGAAGGAGATTGCAAGCAAGACTTGATGCTTCGTAGTACGGTATTTGTTAGTCGATGCCCTGTCCCTGATACTCATCCTAATGTCGTTGCTGTGCTAAGAGATTGATGCCGTCTCTGGGGGTTTGAGCCATCGCGAGGATGTGTCGCAGGATTGCCTCAAACTTCAAGGCGTGAAGCATGGTGGACAGCGAGATACTGGAGGTTCGCTCTAGAGGCACTGCTTGAAGCAGGCCAGAATGTCATCGCAACTACGAGACCTGTAGCTGCGTAGACGCCTGGCACTCAGGTCTTTCCGGTGAGTCGCGTTCATACGTCTCGAGTTGTGATAAGACGTTGGAGTCGAAGATGGAAGAACAGAACAATCCCCTGGCACGAGCGCCAAGATCTAGGCAGAGCCGCGCTAGAACTCGCGATTTGATGTGAGAGCGTGGGGCATGTGTTTTGATGATTGCTGCTTTCATATGCACAAAGAATAATTCCTCGAACATACTCCAGCAGCGTCGGTAGATCCAATCGTCGAGGTCGCGGCTCATCGATGGAACACAGTCTGCGAACATCCATCCATCACGACTGAGCGCAGAATTTGAGCCGTCATGGCCACGGCAGCAACAATGAGCGGGCAACAGGCCTTTGAGCCCGTACTGTCTGCCTTGGCCAGCATGTCGTCGAACGCAGACAGGGCAGCGAAAGAGCAGGCACATACATACCTCGAACAATTTCAGAAGTCGGCAGAGGCGTGGACGTCAAGCTTCGCCATGTTGCAGTCTCCTACAGCCGATGATCAGGCCAAGTTGTTTGCAGCAACGACGTTGAAGGGCAAGATCGTCTTCGACTTCTATCAACTCCCCCGAGACAGCCTACCATCCCTCCGAGACACTCTCCTCCAACTTCTCGCCTCATACGCCAAAGGCCCTCGGCCTATCCGCACCCAGTTATGCGTCTGTCTCGCGAACTTGGCGATACAGATGCTGGAGTGGAAGGACGTGCTGAAGATGGTTGTTTCGACGCTGGGTAACGATCCTACAAGCATAGCATGTGTCTTGGAGTTTTTGCAAGTACTCCCAGAAGAGGTTACCCAAGGCAAGAAGATAAACCTGGCTGAGGATGAGCTGGTGACCCGGACGAACGAGCTCTTGAGCGATAATGCGCAGCAGGTCCTACAGCTATTGACACAGTATGCGCAATCATCGGCAGCAGCAGCCAAAGATCCACTTCTCATGTCATGCTTGACCTCCTGGGTAGCCGAGGTACAGATCAACGACATTGTGAACTCACCACTTATGGATGTTGTGATCGGAGCTCTGCAGTCGGACACGTCTTTCGATGAAGCAGTTGAGACGATCTGCGCATTCTTGAAAGAGACGAGAGAGGTCGACGAGTGCATTGCCACCATCAAGAGCTTGTATCCTAGGTTGGCAACGTTACAACCAAGACTTCGCAGCTCTGCAGAAGAAGAGGATTGGGAAACACTCAAAGGCATCACGAGGATCTATGCTGAAGCTGGTGAGGCATGGGTTATCTTGATCGCACGAGAGCCACTACAATTCCGTCCGCTCGTCGAATCGATACTGGAATGCTGTGCGCGAGACAAAGAGCGAGACGCTCTCTCACAGACCTTCAACTTCTGGTACGAATTGAAACAATACATCACTTTAGAACGATACATGGATGCACGACTGCAATTTGTCGACGTATACAGCAAGCTGGTGGATGTCATGATCGCACATCTGCAATACCCACAAACCAGCGCGAACGACGCCGATCTGTTCGAAGGAGATCGTGAGGCTGAAGAGAAGTTCCGAGAGTTCCGACACGCAATGGGAGATGTTCTCAAGGACTGCTGTGAAGTCATCGGCGTCACAGAGTGTCTACAGAAGAGCTACGTCCTTATCGAGCAATGGGTAAGTCAGCATGGCGCGCAGGCACAGCAAGGCAAGGTGCCGAATTGGCAGCAGCTTGAGGCACCTCTCTTCAGTATGCGGGCGATGGGTCGTATGGTACCCAAGGATGAGAGCATCATGCTGCCGCGCCTGATTCCACTGATAGTACAGATACCAGATCACGAGAAGGTCCGATTCCAGGCGGTCATGGCTCTTGGACGGTACACCGAATGGACCAGCGAGCATCCCGACACTCTCCAAGACCAGCTGAACTTCATCATGGCTGCATTCCAGCACCCTAGCAAGGAGGTCGTCAAGGCTGCAGCTCTCAGCTTGAAGTTCTTCTGCAATGACTGCGCAGATCTTCTCAAAGGCTACATGGGTCAATTACAGAGCTTCTACGAGCAAGTGCTCGATACACTGCCGTCGACAAGTCAGGAGGAAGTCACAGAGGGTATTGCGTCCGTTTTGTCGAAGCAGCCTCTGGACACCCTTTATCAGTCCTTCAAGCTGTGCTGCGATCCCGTTGTCAAGCGTCTTATGACGATGGCAGAAGCGGCGAACGACAAGGACTCTCAGCTAGCAGTGGCAGATCGCATCAACCTCATCACGACTTTCTTGCAAGAGGTTACTCCATACGTCGAGCCATCAAAGCCGCATCCAGCCATTCAGTATTGCCAGGAGATCTTCCCGATCTTGTCCGCAATCGCAGAACGCTTCATCTCATGCACACCAATCCTCGAACGAGTCTGCCGTTGCTGGCGCCATATGGTTCTGTCATATCGAGTACACAGCCAGCCACTACTGCATGAAATGGCTGCGAAGCTGTCCGCAGGTTTCCAAGCCAGTCGACAAGGGTGCTTCTTGTGGGCGACAGACAGCATTGTGCGCGAGTTCTCAGACCCTAGTGTCTATGTGCCACAAAGTACTGCAGATGCCATCTTCAGCTTTTATGAACAACAAGCAACGACGTTTATGCGAATGCTCAATGACTTGCCGCCGGAGGAATTGCCCGACGTTATTGAGGACTTCTTTCGACTTTCGACAGATGTCTTGCTCTACCATTCTAACAAGCTCATTTTGAGCTCGTTGATGCAGCCCATCCTGATGGCCTCTGCGACAGCATTGACACTGATGAAGGACGAGCCAATCATTTCTACACTACACTTCCTGCGCGATTTCCTGGCCTACGGCGGTGAAGATGCGCCAGCCTCGAGCTTCGACCAAGATGGAGAGTATAGATTACGCCAGAACCCGGCCGAAGTCCAGCTGGCTGTCAAGAAGCTCACCCTCGCTGTCGGAGAGGCAACGACACAACGATGCTTGACAGGAATGATGTACTCGTTCCCGGCAGACTGCTTTCCGGACGCCAGTGGTGTGCTCCTCGCATTGTTCCAGCTAATGCCCGAGCAGGCTGCTGAGTGGACTAGCAACACTGTCAGCTTGCTACCCGCCGGCTCTATCTCAGACCAAGAAAAGGACCGTCTAGGTCGAAACATTGGTCAGCGCATTCAGAGCGGAGAACTTAGAAAGATTCGTACCCTACTGC